TAATGAAGAAAAGAAGTTTATTTCTCACAGTTCTGGATACTGGGAGATCAATATCAAAGAGCCAGCATCTGGCCAGGGCTTTCTTGTTTCATCATCCTAAGGCTGAAGGTGAGAGAGCGATAGAGAAGATGAGGTGGGGAAGAGATTGAGATTGAAGTAGAAATCTCAAACTCCCATAATCTGTGTTAATCCACTCGTGGAGGTGGAGTTTTCATGGTCTTAATTATCTCTCAAAATTCCCACTCTGAACGTTGTTGCATGGAGATTAAGTTTTCAACACAAGCTCTTTGGCAGACACATTCAAATCACAGCCATAGGGCTCAAGAAAAACGTGAGTATAGTTTTAAGTTTTTCTGTGATGAGGACACATTTTTTTGTATTAGTTGTATAATTAGAATAGATATAAAATTAAAGAAACTTGTAGAAAGTTTGGGAGGAAGGAAGGAGGGAGGAATAAAAGGGAGAAGGAAGGAAGGGAGGAAAGAAAGATGGAAAGAGAGAAGGAAAGGGTAGAGGGGAGGGAGGAAGAAAGGAATCGCAAGGAAGAAGGAAAGGAGGAAGGGAGAGATGGGAGGCAGGAAAAATGCAGGCCTCTGAGTGCTCACGAGGTGGCGCTAGAGAGAGGCTGCGAGTGCAGGAAAGCGACCCTGCTCCCTCTGCCGGCAGGGCTGATGAACTGCAGAACTGCCTGTCAGTTCACTTGGGACTTCTCCGAGGGAGGGAGGAAGCCAAAGTGGCTTTTTGGAGCTGTTGACCTTTTCTGCTTATGAGGGGGATGGTAGGATATGAGTGACTCAGATGCCTGTGAGTCAGCAGGTCCCTGGAAAGGAAATCAACCTGCTTGGGGGTTCTCAGTGGATCCCCCTTTGCTTTTGGGAATTTCTTCCAAAAGCATGCTAATAAACTGCCATAGTTATGAGAAAATGTGCGAACTTCACCTTCTATCATTAATTATTCATAACATATTTTTTTCCCAGAACACTAAGTCCTTAAAAAAAATGAACTCTGTTTTTCTAAAACAGGTTAAAATTTTATCTAATATTTTCCTATGACAAGACTTCACTTCTGTCTGAACACGAGGTTCTTTCTCTTCTCCATCCCTCTCCTTGACTGGTAAATATTTCTCCCCCGAGACAATAATTAAATTCACAAATGAAATTATTTGTAAAAGCACTGTATTTAAATATGCAACAGTGTAAGCCAGTCATTCATGCACGGTTTTGGTTTTGAGGCAGGCAGAACATTAATGAAGGTAGAAAGCTAATCTGTAACTCAAACACTATAATAAATAAAGAGAACAGCTTTAAAAGAGCAGAGAAAATGTGCTGACCTTTTCCAACTCTATTTGTAAAATGCGTCATAATTTACGGCGCACAGATCTGTAACTACAATAGCAAGTTCCTAACCTTGCAGGCCATCTATCCTAGAGCCTGTTCCATTTGGCTGATTTTAAGACAGTGAGTTGAAGGGCAAGAAAGAGCCATCTTGTCTCGTGGTTTGGGACAGCCCATCGCATCTGTTAGGAAATTTTGGCATCCAATACATTACTGTATAAATTTGGTTCATAATTTTTTTTTGTAATTCATGCATTTTAAGTGCTTTATAATCAAAGTGATATATGGTAGGCATTTTCAGAATGGAATGGAGAAATAGTGGGGAATAGGGAACTAAAAGGGAGGGGAAAGAAAGACAGATATTGGGAAGAGAGAAGATTCTGATTAAACTTAAAACTGAAACCTAGATGTTAAAAATGATAAATGATTTTCACTTATTGGTGCATCACTTGAAGCACCTCCGATTTTTAAAATTTCCTACTGTCCTGCAACTTGAATTTTACCCAGTAAAAACCGAGTAATTCGCATTATGAAAATCTGCCTTATCCTTATCCACCATTGCACCTGTCATTTGCTTTCCTGTTGACTCATTCATTCACTCCTTTCCCAACTATTTACTGCTTATCTATGACATGCGTCTGTCACTAGGTGCATAGTGGAGAGTGCACTGCATCATGAAGCAGAGTCTAGAATGTTTCCCTCCTTCTCACTTTTCCTCTTCTCCATCCCCGGCTCAGTTTCTCCAAGACCTTATCAAATGCAACATCCTTGTCCTCCCTGACCTCTGTTCTGACCTCCACCCCCATTCACCAACCCACAGACCTGTGGTCTCTCTCATCCCTGAAACCCTAAATCTTAGGTACAGCTCTCATATCACAATCTACTGGACACCAAGCCTAAAGCAATTCACAGTAGTACCCTGAGCTACCATTGCTTGGGATATATTTAGAGGCATGAACACAAAAAAATCATAAGTCCATTCAGCAAGGCACAAAATGAGGGACATATGTTCAATGCTAACTCCAAGTTAAAAGCAGTTCTTCCTCCAGGGACTTCAAGTTTTTTTTGTGTGGTCACAACAGGGAGAAAACAAAGCTTTTAGGATGTCCAAGTTGCGTTTCCAGGTGGAACAGAGGAGTGGCTGATGGAACTCGCCGTGCGCTCAGGGTAGAGACAGAACTGCAGTATACATCAGGGCAACCATTCTGAGTTAAAAAGCAAGGGTTGAAACCATCAGTGGTCAACCTTAAGTGCCCTGAAATAAGTTGCAGAGCGTCTGGACCACAGAAGAGGGTGGAAGCTGGTAGTCAGCACCCTGGAGAAGGGTTTCCATCCGTTTTAGTCACAGTGGTCTGTAGATGGGTGCCAGCATAGCTTTTGTTCCTATGCATAAGGGCATGTGGTTCTCATTACAGGGCATAAGCTTATTCATTTTAAGCAACTTCATTTTCCATTCCCATAAAATTCTAAGTTTAAAGAATATTCTTAGCTGTTTGACTTTGAACCCGGGTGCACCTTTTGACCATGGGAATCCAAGTTCTGACACTCAGAGTGAGTGATCCCAGATGAGCCATCTCCCTGACATGCTTTTGTCTTAATGAACCTGGGCTCCACCTGAGTGTGCTGTGGTTCCTACCAAGGGAACTTCCACTTGCCATTTTGTGTTATAGTTACTGGTGTATTCATGCTATCTCCC